GGTTTTGGGAGAATTCCGGAATTTTGGGGGAAATTTGAGGGATTTGAGGGGGTTTGGGGGGATTTTGGGGGAATTTGGTAAAATTTTGTTTTTTGGGGGGAATTTCAGAGAAAATTTGGGGGGAATTTGGGGGATTTTGGGGGTCCCAAAAGGTCCCAAGGGAAAGGTCCTGGAAGGTGCAGAAAAAGCCCCAAAAAGAGCCCAGACAGGTCCTGAAAGATCCATAAAAAGCCTCGAAAATTCCAGAAAAATTCCCAGAAATTCCCGGAAGGTCCCGGAGGTTCCAGAAGGTTCAGAAAGGTCCAGGAAGGTGCAGAAAGATCCCGAAAGGTCCTGAAAGGTGCAGAAATAGCCCCAAAAAGAGCCCAGACAGGTCCTGAAAGATGCATGAAAAGCCTCAAAAATTCCAGAAAAATTCCAGAAAAATTCCCAGAAATTCCCAGAAGGTTCCAGAAGGTTCACAAAGGTCCTGGAAGGTGCATAAAGGTCCTGGAAGGTGCAGAAAGGTCCTGAAAGGTGCAGAAATAGCCCCAAAAAGAGCCCAGACAGGTCCTGAAAGATGCATAAAAAGCCTCAAAAAATCCAGAAAATTCCAGAAAAATTCCCAGAAATTCCCGCAAGGTTCCGGAAGGTTCCGGCACGCACTTGTCGCCCCGGAAGAGGTAGGTGTGGCCGCTGGGCAGCCAGAGCAGGGCGGCGTCCAGGCGGTCACCGGGGACGCCGCGGCCGAGCTCGGCCAGGGGCCGGGGGTAGCCGGGGGCCAGGACGCCCTCGTCGAACACCCAGTGCCGGGAGCCTGAAATGGGGCAAAAAAGGTCAAAATCGGGCAAAAAACGCCGAGAAAAACGAGCCGGGCCAAGCCCGGGTGCGGCCAGGAACGGGGGAAAAATCGGCCGGAATTGGGTAAAAATTGGAGGTGAAATGGGCGCAAAAAAGGTCGAAAATTGTCGTGGAGTTGTCGGAAATTTCACGCCAAAATTCACCCAGAATCGGCCAAAAATTCACCCAGGATGGCCCAAAAAATCAGCCGAAAATTCGCCCAGAATGAGCCAAAAATTCAGCCAAAATTCACCCACAATGACCCAAAATTCAGCCCAAAATTCACCCAGAATGACCCAAAAATTCACCCAGAATGACCCAAAAAATCAGCCAAAAATTCACCCACAATGACCCAAAAATTCAGCCCAAAATTCACCCAGGATGGCCCAAAAATTCACCCAGAATGACCCAAAAAATCAGCGAAAGATTCACCCAGAATTGCCAAAAAAATCACCCCAAAATTCACCCAGAATGACCCAAAAATTCACCCAAAAATTCAGCCAAAAATTCACCCAGAATGACCCAAAAATTCAGCCCAAAATTCACCCAGAATGACCCAAAAATTAACCCCAAAATTCACTCAGAATTGCCAAAAAAATCAGCCCAAAATTCACCCAGAATGACCCAAAATTCAGCCCAAAATTCACCCAGAATTTCCCAAAATTCAGCCGAAAATTCACCCAGAATGACCCAAAAATTCACCCCAAAATTCACTCAGAATTGCCAAAAAAATCAGCCCAAAATTCACCCAGAATGACCCAAAATTCAGCCCAAAATTCACCCAGAATCGGCCAAAAATTCACCCATAATGACCCGAAAAATCAGCCCAAAATTCACACATAATGACCCCAAAATTCACCCAGAATGACCCAAAAATTCAGCCAAAAATTCACCCAGAATGAGCCAAAAATTCAGCCAAAAATTCACCCAGGATGGCCCAAAATTCAACCAGAATGACCCAAAAATTCAACCTAAAATTAACCCAAAATAGCCTAAAAATTCACCCCAAAATTCACCCAGAATGACCCAAAAATTCAGCCAAAAATTCACCCAGAATTTCCCAAAATTCAGCCCAAAATTCACCCAGAATGACCCAAAAATTCACCCAGAATGACCCAAAAATTCACCCAGAATGACCCAAAAATTCAGCGAAAAATTCACCCAGAATGACCCAAAAATTCACCCCAAAATTCACCCAAAAATTCACCCAGAATGACCCAAAAATTCACCCAGAATAACCCAAAAATTCACCCCAAAATTCACCCAGAATCATCCAAAAATTCAGCCAAAATTCACCCAGAATGACCCCAAAATTCACCCCAAATTCACCCAGAATGACCAAAAAATTCACCCAGAATTACCCAAAATTTCACCCCAAAATTCACCCAAAATGACCCAAAAATTCACCCCAAAATGCCAAAAACAATCACCCCAAAATGGTCCAAAAGTCGCCCAGACTTCACCAAAAATTCAACTTAAAATTCACCCAAAAGAGCCCAAAATTAACCCTGAAATTGCCCCAAAATCACCCAAAATTTCACCCCAAAAATCGCCCAGAGCGACCCAAAAATTCACCCAGAATCACCAAAAAAATCACCCCAAAAGTCGCCCAAAATTGCCCAAAATTCACCCCAAAAGCCAAATAAACCCCAATAAATCCCAATTAAATCTGATTAAATTAAATCTCATTAAAATCCGATAAAACCCAATTAAATCCCAATAAAACCCAATTAAATCCCCATAAAACCCAAATAAACCCAATAAAACCCAATTAAAACCCAATAAAACCCCAATTAAATCCCAATAAAACCCAATTAAAACCCCAATAAATCCCAATAAAACCCAATTAAAACCCAATAAAATCCAATTAAACCCAAATAAAACCCCAATAAAACCCCAATAAATCCCAATTAAATTCCAATAATTCCCAAAAAAACCCAATAAAATCCAATAAAAACCCCATAAAATCCCTATAAAATCCAATTAAATCTGAATAAAAACCCAATTAAAACCCAATAAAACCCAATTATACCCAATTAAAACCCCAATTAAAACCCAATAAAACCCAATTAAAACCCAATTAAACCCCAATTAAAACCCAATAACACCCCAATAAATCCCAATTAAATTCCAATAAATCCCAATAAAACCCATTTAAAACCCAATATACCCCAATAAAACCCCATCAAACCCCAATAAAATCCCAAATAATTCCCAAAAAACCCCAAAACCGCGGGAATTCGCCCCAAAAACCTTTGAAGAAGACGAATTTGCCGTCGCTCCTCTTGTGTCCCAAATAAACCCCAAGAAATCCCAATAAAACCCAATAAATCCCAATAAATCCCAATTAAACCCCAATAAATCCCAATAAAATCCAATAAAACCCCAATAAAACCCAAATAAAATCCAATAAAACCCAATAAATCCCCATTAAAACCCGATAAAATATCAATAAATCCCAATAAAACCCAATTAAACCCCAATAAAATCTCAATAAATCCCAAT